TCTTTTTACTACACCTAATATAGTGTGTGTGTATATAATTATTTTCCAATATTCGTTTTGAATAGTTTATACATCCTTACTAAAAGAGATGGTTGATTCGATGTAAAGGCTCGAATTCTTCATATTATCATTGATACGTAGTACGAAATATTACATAAAAGATATTTAAATAATTGAAATTTAAATTGGACAAAATTACACCGGTATTTATCTCAAAGTCTCTTTGTTTTAGTTGCATCTTTCATCAATCATTTTTTGTACTTCTCTTCGGAAACTAGATATATATAATATCTGTTTTTAAATAAAGTACATAACAGAGCAATTGATACAAATAGACTCTCCATTTCTTTCGAATGAGTTTTAAAACTACTGAGAGAAATACTGAAAAAGCAATCAATCAGAAATTTATTCTTGTAAAAGAAATTTTAATAAAAATCGAATATCGTTTCTTCGGACATAGATATGTTGTTAATTATTTATCATTATTATTATTAATAAATAAATTCAACGATTTTTTTGTTTTAATTAATTCCTTTCACGTTTTGTCTCAGCGCGTCTTTTCTTTATCATCTGTGAAAAGCTTATCCAAGTAGCACAGCGGGAAAGGTATTGGGTCATTTAAAAAGTATCCGCTGTTTTTGTTCATTCAAAAATTGAACAAAAAACCGCGGATACTTTTTAAATGACCTAATACATTCAGACAAACGGGAAAGGGAGATTTTGTGTTTTATATTTTGTAATATATTATTTTATATCTAATGTATTATCTAATATAATATTTTATAAGATATTAGATGATCACAAATCTTTTTTGATGTGATTGTCGATCTGAAAGAAAAATGTGTAAAATATTAAAATTCCATATAAATATCAAATATCGATCGAAGCGTTCATTCATTTTGTTTTCTTGTTTATTAATATAAGGAGCCATATAGAGAAGAAATAATGAACGAATCTTTCAATTAATCTAAATATACACACACACACACGTGCAAATTAATTAATATTTTAATGGTAGTGGTAAATAAAAACGCGTCAGTGTTGTAAAGGAAGAGTGCGAAAAAGAAATATTAGAGAAAAATTTGCCTTTTAGATTTTTATTTCTTCGTATTGAATTGTGATGATAACAATAAAAAATTATGTTGACTTTGTAATATTACACATTAAAATAAATAGGTCTTTTGTATGTTATGTAATAGACATGTAACAAATGTTTATTATCAAATATTTATTGTTTATCTCTTTACAATTGTATTTCATTCATCATCTTGTAAAGTGTGAACACTGATGTTAAGATAAAAAGAAACTTAACGAATAAGTTTATTATAAAATGAGAAGAATATATTATTTAAGGTTCTAGTTTCCTTTCTCATTGCAATTATGTAATATTGATTTATTAAAAATGAAAAATTACATAAATTTTTCCTTGTATTGTACATCGAGATAAATTAGTTCTTTTACAAATTATTCCTTATTGTTTGATAAATTTGCATGAATAAGTACTATTAAAAATATATCAATTATTTTTTCTTAAATTATTAAATAGCTATAAATCTTGATTAATTGAAAATAATATATGCAATTTGTGAATTATACTTATAAGATGTATTCGAAAAATTCCTTGTTCCATTCAGTTCCAGTAAAGTATAATTCACAAATTGTAAATATTATTTTCAATAAGTTTCCAGTGAAAAGGAATTTTACGATAATTAATCAAGATTTACAGCTATTTAATAATTCAAGAAAAGATAATTGTTATATTTTTTATTCACGCATACTATTTATTCACGCAAATCTATCAAACAATAAGGAATAATTTGTGAAAGAACTAATTTATCTCGATATACAATACAAGGAAAAATTTATGTAATTTTTCATTTTTTATGTTATAAATTAATATTATATAATTGCATTGAGAGAGGAAATAAGAATCTTAAATAATATATTCTTCTCATTTTATAATAATAGACTTATTCCTTAAGTTTTCTTTTTATCCTAGCATCAGTATACTTTACAAAATGTAACGGATAAAATATGTAACAAAAATAAAATATGTAAAGGGATAAACAATAAATTAATTTAATATGCAAAATATATATGTATGTGTGTGTGTTTGCGCGCGTGTGTTTATGAGTATTAAATTAGTGCAAAAGATTAAGTTACGAGTTCAAAGTTTAAATTCAAAATTTTTAAATATGTGAAAAAGGATAAAACATTAAAGTTTACAATATATGATTATATTATAATTAATAAGAGTATTGTTCTTAAAACTGTTATTTCGTTCTAAATTTTATTTGGTGAATACTTTTGCACTAATATAATATATTGTAAAATATATTTTATACTTGAGTATTGCCAACGTATATGTAATATTATTCTGTATCGTATAATGTGTTGTATGTATATCTGCATAAGATAAAAGAACGCTAAATAATGTAATTATGATATATCGATAATGACCAATCTTTCTTAACTTCTATTTTCCTAAAATGACATATCGTGTAAGAACTTAATGTAATGTGTATATTACGTTAATCCATTAACGACCAATATTATTTTTAAGATACAAATTTTATTGCGAATGAAATAAATTTAGTAACAAATGACGTTCTCGTATCAATTATTTTTAATATCTCGTTTTCAAATGTACGAAAATGTTTGATATATGATGGTAAATTGTTCAAAATATTGTGACATAAAAAGTGAGTGCAATTGTAATGAAATATTATGTTATAAAAACAGTCTTTAACTAAATTCTTAATGTAACAGCACTATGGTCTTTAATGGATTCATAAATTGGACACGAATAAAAATGGATGAGAAAGAGGGAATTGTTGAAAATAAATTAAGTAATTTTAAGCACAACCAACAGATTAATTAAAATAAATCTAAATTTGAAAAGTTTAATTATCTTTTAATGTACCCCTGGCGGAAAAAATTAAAAAAAAACTGCGTAGACAGGTTTTTAGAAACTCTGACTTTTTCGTAGTAAAATGTAGAGTAGTATTGTTCGTTTTATGATATAAGATAAATATAAAAAAAGATTCTATAAAAGCATAATACAGAATTTCTTGTTCAAACAAACAACATTACTCTACGTTCTCCTAAGAATATCTTTGAAAAATTAAGGATTTCTAAGATCTTGTTTCGATCTATGTAGTTTTTATAAAAATTTTTCCGCCAGGGACTTACACATGTATACGATATTCTGGTATCTCTTTATTGTTGTGTATTAATTTGAATGTTGACTTTATAAGTATATGTATGTTTTAATTTTTTATTAAAATAAGATTTTTAATAATTTTTAATTTTTTAATATTTTAATTTTTTGTCTAAATTGAAAAAAAGCAAACATTAAAAAAAATATATGTTATAGAAAGAATTAAAAATATCCATTTTTATTCCATATTTTGTTTTTGATTAAATTAAATGCATTAATTTAATTTAATGTTTACTTTAATTTTTCAAAATTTCACGAATATATCTTATGAACTCCATACGAATAATTTTTCTTTCTAATTCCATTTTAATTCGTCCATTTTTTCCACGACATTTTATATCTCATTTATTATCCGTTTATTAAAGTTCATGTAAACATGAATTTATACACTGTTGTGGAATGTTTGATATGAAGATGTGAGTGATTACGTTAAGAACAATCTTAATTTTTTTTTATCCAGTCTGATCTGATTTCAACATTTGTTCAAAAAATTTTAGTTATTGGACATCCTCTTCAGAAGTGTGCAAAAAAGTTTATGAGGATAAAAAAAGCTTTGAATTTTTAATTTAAAAAAATTTATAATTATAACTACCCAGATAGCACAGAGAGTTCAAAAAGAATTCGGTGATATGTCATCAATTCTGAACTCATTTTCAGATACAACAAGAATTTTGCTATCTGGATATATAATTCTTCTGATTTTCTGTTATATAATAGAAAAATTATTTTTCCAATTAAAAATTTATTAAGTTTGAAAATTAAAATATTAGCTGAAGTTTCACAATTTTTTTCTATTGTCTGTTATACTGTGTATATAAATTAAAGCTATCAAATTAATCATAATTTTTATACAGGGTTTTCTAATATTTTTTGCATTTTCCTGTAACTTATTAAATTTTAATGTTCTATGTTTTAATAACTAAATTAAAATTTTTATTGAAATCCAATTTAAATCGCACGTCAATGTTTTATCATTTATATACTAATATCTGTAATATCTAAGTTGTATTGAAAAAATTCATGTTTTATTAATATCCTTAGAGAATTAATTAAAAATAATATTCTCTATTTTAAAATTGTACGAATACTTACAATTTATTTACATTCTTAAAATACTTACGCAATAATGCTTTTATTTTCAATAGACTACAAAATGGATTTTTCATGAATTCTTGGATACCCTGTATAGAAATTATATCCGTTTCATTATCACATCGCAACATCCTTGATGACGTTATAAGTTCTAACCGATTTGACCTAATGACAGAGCAATCAATATCTCACTGTAGTCATTAGTAAATACGTTTCATTTAATACGCAATTATTCTCTTATTCAATACAAATATTATAGAACCTTCAAAAAAAATTGTCAATCTCTTCAAATTATTTTTCTTTTTTTGATAGAAATGTAAAAAAGAACGATCTTAGATAAAAGATATTTTGTATAAAAAGATTTTGTTTATTGTATAATCTAACTTTAAAATAATAGAATAATGTAAATTTTTCTATTTAGTTTTATAATTATTTTTAAACCATTTAATTTCTTTTATATATTTTCTATATATTTCTACTCTTGTTTTAATATTTCTATTTTTGGATTAATTAAGAATAATAGGATGAAGAAAGAAATTATTGCATGTTAACATTTTGAAGCAAACTGCATAATCACTTAGTTACGTAACATAAAGAAGAAATACATTATACAAAAAGAATCTTCTAATAACGCCTCTTTTTTTTATAACCCTATACCTCTTTTACACTCCTCAATATCGCATTTTAGACGAGGACAAAGATGCCAAGGAAACAAAGGAGCTGGAGACTCAGGAGCAGCAAGTGGTGGACGGTGAATAGAAAATGGTTGATGGAGATCACATCGCGCCCCAGTTGGAACAGGATTATGATTTTCCCGAATGATATAAGGAACGGCGGATAATGATAAACCAAGGTAACACCCACAATCGAAAGCGCAGTGAGTCCTTAACATTTAAAACACGAATGTACGATATTAGGGAGAAATTGTTAATATATATATATATATATATATATATATATATATATATAGAGAGAGAGAGAGAGAGAGAGAGAGAGAGAGAGAGCGAAAAAAAGAAGCATGTACATACATATATATGTATGTAATATATAATAGATAAAGCGCATATATATATGAATATGTATATGTATGTATAGGTAATTAATTATATATAACTACACACTGTACTGTAAGCGGTGAGCAAAAAGTGAAAAAAGTAGTAAAACTCTTATTACATGATTGCTATGTTTACACAATTATATATATATATATATATACATAAGTATATATATTATACATATATATATAAAATTATAAATACACACACTTACCTACCATTCTTATTTCGCTACTCCTCCTCTGCGTTCTTTCTCTTGAATGTTATTTTTAGTTTTATGAATAATGACGCAAAAAAACGTCTTAGTCGCAATGACGATGAATACCTTGTAGTATAACTATTCTGAATGTGTTTAAGCGAAAAAGAAATCGCGCGATACCGCCCCGATGTTAATCACGCGGAATCACTCTATATATAAATAATATTATTATTGTATATTTTGTGGTTTATTTAACAATAAACTATTAACAATAATAACGTTAATTGCTGTCTCAATCTTTTTCTGTATACCAAAATTTACTTTCTAATATTACTAAATATATAAGCGAATAAATAAAAGATATGCGATTTAATAAACTTAAAATACTTGAATGAGAATATGTCGATCTTGAAATGGAAAGGATCGTTCCAACAATTAGATTTATTTATTCTCTACTTTAAAATATTCTCTCAATTTTGATTCTATTTTCCTATAACTCAATATGCAAAATGAATCACATGCTCTAGCTTTTACTCGTTTTCTCATTCTATACATATAGTCACATGATTATGTGATAAATGTGTAATATGAAAGTAGCATAATTCCAGTTTACAAAAAAATTGTTTTAAAATGAAAAAGAAGGATTTTAAATAAAGGGTTTGAAATATAGGATTTATATTTCAAATTGATTTTGAAAAAAACTTTTATTCTGTTTTGCTGTCTTCGAAGTTATACTAAAGAGTCAACAGAAAATATTTATATTGTAGTTAAATACTTATTATATTTTACAAAATTATATTTAATAGTAGTTATTGTATTATACTTTTAATACCAAAAAGAAGAAAAATACACAGATTCGATATAAAATATGTCGTAATATCTATACATTTACGTGTTATAACTTTCATTCCTCAGTTTTCTCCACTTATTCTAGAATTTATTACTCTTGTATAGAATATAATTATTCCGATATATAATTATTTCCATATAAACATGAACATTTTTAAATTTTATATCATTGATCAAGAGCAAATTCTTATAGAAAATGGAAAATATCTTCCTTGAAGTGAAAATAATTATAGTGAAATAATTTTCGAGATCTTTAGAATGTAATCTTATCTCCTATTACAAAAATATATTTTTAAAATTTCACTAGCCGAGAAGAACTTTTCTAATCATGGCACCACTGACGGGTTCCTCATGGTTGTCGCGTGGTTCGATGCACTTACTACTACATAAGTATTGCAACAATGGTAAGCGATATTTGCCACAGAAATCGACAAATTTAATGTGTTCCACGCGATTATTAAAGAAAACACCTGCGCAGAAAAGTAAAAGTTAATCTTGTTATGAGATTTGATCCAAAAGAACGCTTTGTTATTTTGAATTATTCTAAATTTTATTGCTGCACAATTTTACACTGAGATTAAAACTTTTTGGTATTTGTAACTATAATTGTAATATATTACTATAATTATGATTATGATTATTATAGTATAACTATGTGTACAGTTCAATGCCAATATATATATTATATATAGTTGGCAAACCAAAAATGACTATAATTACAGTCATAATAATTATAATTATAATCATTTTCGATTATCAACTATACATATTGGTCGATAGAATTATACATATGTATAGTTATTATTACTAATACTATAGTAATCATAATCATAGTTATAGTAATATACAATAATTATAGTTACAAATGCCAAAAAGTTTTTCTTTCACATCGTTTACGTTTCTCTCCTCTCACATTTGATGTGAATCCGATTATTATTTGGCCAAGGCAATGATTTATTACCATTTATTACGTCTAAATTATTATTGTTAATCAAAACACTGACCTTTGCATTTAGGATTGACACAACTGTGGGCACTATTGAGGTACTGTACTAGATTGTGCGGTATACTTTCATTATCGTAGCGAATATCACTGGATTTAATGATACGCGCTGCTAGCTCCAACAACGATGGTGGATTGTGTGTCATATCAGATACGAATCTCACCACCAACGGATTATCTCGTAAAGACAACTGCGAAAAACGAATAAAATTTTTTTCCACAGAACAAACTTTAAATTAGTAAAAGTCAGTTACAACAAATAAAAATAAACAATCTATACAGGGCCACTAAGAGTCATAGGTTACAAAAATTATAAATTATATGTAAAGATTGCATAGTAAAAACATTTAAATAAACAGAGAGTGCAGTAAAGAAATCAAATTTATGAAACCAATTATATTAAACGAATTAATTCATTATAATAAAAATCGTTAAACTAAATTTACCTCGATACTTTAAATGTATATGTATGTACATACATACATACATACATACATACATACATACATACATACATACATACATACATACATACATACATACATACATACATACATACATACATACATACATACATACATACATACATACATACATACATACATACATACATACATACATACATACATACATACATACATACATACATACATACATACATACATACATACATACATACATACATACATACATACATACATACATACATACATACATACATACATACATACATACATACATACATACATACATACATACATACATACATACATACATACATACATACATACATACATACATACATACATACATACATACATACATACATACATACATACATACATACATACATACATACATACATACATACATACATACATACATACATACATACATACATACATACATACATACATACATACATACATACATACATACATACATACATACATACATACATACATACATACATACATACATACATACATACATACATACATACATACATACATACATACATACATACATACATACATACATACATACATACATACATACATACATACATACATACATACATACATACATACATACATACATACATACATACATACATACATACATACATACATACATACATACATACATACATACATACATACATACATACATACATACATACATACATACATACATACATACATACATACATACATACATACATACATACATACATACATACATACATACATACATACATACATACATACATACATACATACATACATACATACATACATACATACATACATACATACATACATACATACATACATATACACACACACACACGCACACACACACACACACATACATACATATATACATACACATACACAAAAAGTATAAAATATAAGATGATTAAGTAATATAAGATGATTTAGTAAATTATTCGTAACCCACCTCTGTGAGACATTTTAACGTTATTATTTCAGTAGGCAATGTCCGTAATCTGTTTTTGTGAAGCGATAGAGTCTTCAAGTTCGTTAAATTGGCTATTGAGCTTGGCAGACTCTCTAGCATGTTATCACAAAGTACGAGAGCCTGTAGGGTCTTTAGTTGACCAAGAGTGCACGGTACTTCTGTCAATCTGTTGTTTCCCATCGACAAAACTCGCAATCTTTGACAAATCAGAATATTATTTCTTAATAATGTTTTAGGCAAAGTCGACTAATTATTCAATTTTTTAATATATAAAACAATACGGGATATATTATACTCGCAAATAATTATTTAAATTAATAGTATCAAAATATTATTATATAATATAACTCGCATAATTCTTTACATTACCACATATTACATACCAAGATATTTAATTACAGCTTTCAAATTTTCATGCTCTTCACATTTAAGTTTTTAATCGCCGATTATTAATTTGCTAATAATTAAATTAACAAATTTTATTTTTATTTAAAATTTAAACATTATTAAAATTCGTTAAAATGAGCAATTACCCTTGCAGTTTCCAGATGTCCTTGGTAATTTCGCTGATACGATTACCACCCAAATAAAGATACTTTAATCCAGATAGATCAAAAATTTGATTAGGAAATTCCGTGAGTCTATTACCACTTAGATTGAGTTCTCTTAAATTAACGAGATTTTCAAAATCTTTCGCTAGTCCATCATTGGTCAGGTTATTGTGTTTCGCAATCAAACAGGTCAAAGGACAATCCGCCCAAAAATTTGATAAACTGGTAAGGCCACAGTTCGAGATATCGAGGAAATTCAGATTGATGAATCTAATGATATTGGCAGGTACAGTTGTGAGAAGATTCTGACTCAACAATAAGGTATCCACTTGCTCTGGATTTTTGGTATTGAGGAATTGCTTATCTAATACTTCGTTGTCCAATGCCAAATAGGACAGATCCAACGTTCTTAAGGCAGAATCCGAGTCGCTGGAGTCCGATGTGTAATTCTCCATGACTATTCTAAGTTTTAAAATATTTTATACTATTATTTATATTTCATTATTATATCACTTATTTATTATAATATACCGTTATATAAGAAAATGTAAACGTAATGTAACATATAAATTATTTTATTATATATAAAATGGGGAGAAAAACTTCGTATTATATTATTATAATAATTTGTATATATAACAATATATATATATATACATATAAAATTAATTTATTAATTTAATGTTAATTTTCTTATTATATGTGCGCGCGATTATCTAAATTCTTCTTCCAAGGAAAATGCAGGAAATTTATATAGTAATAAAATGATATTGTACTT